GGGGCTGTGGGGAAAGAGGAACCCTGCTCCACTGCTGGTGGGAGTGTAGACCTGTGCAACCACTGTGGAAATCTGTATGGAGATACCTCACAGAACTAGGACTGGAAGTCCCATTGGACCCAGCTATTCCCCTGCTGGGGATCTTCCCCAAAGAATTAAAAGCATCATACCACAGAGATGTATGTGCACCCATGTTCACAGCAGCAGTTTGTAATAGCTAAAACTTGGAAGCAGCCTAATTGTCTATCAAGTGGAAGCTGGATAAAGAAAATGTGGTTTTTTAATAAAATAAAAAATACTCAGCCATGAAAAATAAGAAATTGAGACATTTACAGTTAAATGGATGTACAATGAGGCAAATCTCTTAAGTGAAATAAATAGGACACACGTGTAAATATGGAATAGTTTCTCTAGTGTGAGAAACTGAAAGTGTAAATAAGGACTGAAAGGTATAATAAATAATGTGAAATAGGAAGAAAAGGGGCAAAGGGGAGGGGGAAGTGGGAGGGGTAGGGGAAAGGAAAGAAGGGAATGGAATTAATAGGAGAAAATGAAAAAATGGAAACAAAGTCTTTGTAAATAGGGAGGGATGGAGGAGTTGAAGGCAGGGCAGGGGAATGGGTAAAAAGTAAGAACCAAGAGAGATTATGTAAAGGTGCAAACTTCCAATGATCAATGTCATCATATTGTGTACTGAAAATGTACCAACAAAATTAAAATAATAATTCAGCACTTGCCCCATAGCTTTCCATTCTTTTAATTTGTGATATATGCAGATATAACACCTTCAAATTCTGTTTCGATTAACTAAAGAGATAGCCAGTACTTCAAGAAGGATCATCTCAATAGAAAGTACTCAAAATTTAATAACATCAACATTTATGGAGAACTATTGGTACATACTGTTAGGCAGTTACTGATACTGTCTCAGCAACGATTTGCAGAACTGTATACACAGGTGCTACCTAAGGTCCCCAGTTACAAATGAAGAAATTGAGGCCTCAGGGAGTTAATTTGCCATACTCATAAGCAAAGTCAAGATCTGAAAGACGCTGTTGTCTTTGCACCAGCCTCCTGCCTGAGAGGAGGTCACAATTAGGGACGGTTATGCCTCAGTGTGAAAAGCGCTGGTACACAGCAGGTACAAAATACAGGCTTGCCACGTGAGGTAGCGCTGGCCTGTGATCCCAGCACTGGGGAGGCTTAAGGCTGGAGGATCGCTGGAGTTCGAGGCCAGCCCGAACTGCAGTGAGATCCTATGTTTAAAAATAACGAAACCAAACCAAACACCCCAAAACAACATCAACAGCAAAACACACGACCTGGAAGAAGGGATGTCAGAATATGTTATCTAAAAACACTATTCACAAAACCCTGTCAGGGCCTAGTGCACTCTCCGGAAGCAGCATTCCCACATGAGAATGACAAATGTCATTTATTATTATTATTATCCGATGGAAGCAGGCGCTGACCGGAAAATAGTTGGGCTCATTAACAAACACAAGGAAGTGGTGAACCCCAGGTAAAGGGCCTCCGAAAGGGTGGAGCGCAACCCGCGCTGGCTCGCAGAAGGTGTGGGGCGACAGCCACGGCCACCTCCGCACAGCGGAGTGCAGCGCCGGAGACGCGGAGGCGGGAGTTCGGGCCAGCGCGGCAGCCGCGGGTCCCCGCGCTCACGGGGCCGGGGCTGCTCCTCTACTCCAGCCGGAGCAGGGAAGAAAGGGTCCCTGCGACGAGCCCCGACGCCTCGCCCCGCGCCAGGCGCGCCCGAGACCACCCGCTCCCACCTGCCTGCGGCCTCGGTCAACCAGCAGGGCTCCCGAGGACAGGGCCCGACCCGCGGGGCTCCCCGCGTGATACGCACCGCGCACGGCCAGAAGGCGACCGCAGCGAGGTCTCTCCCGGGGCTGTCTGGCGCGCGCCGGCTCTGCTTCCGGGTTGAAGGGCGCGCACGCTGATTGGCTCCCGCGTCCTCGCGCGAGGTTTGAATGTGCTCCGCTGTCCCTGAGTTGCCATCGAGCTGCTGCCTGGCGGGACCTCAGGTCCGTCGTCTCTGCGCCTCCTGGGGCTCCCAGGAACTAGGTGAGTCTCGCCTCCTCCTCTCCTGCCGGTCGCACGTTGCTGATCCAGGCTGCGGCCTGTGAAGCGTTTCGGGGCGGCGCAGAGCGCTGTGAACGCGGGGGCCTGCCGTACCGTGCCGTGCGCCCGCCTGTGAGGGTCGGGGGCGCGGGCGAGTCCGGGGGGCGCGGGCGAGTCCGGAGGGCGCCCGAGGTCTGCAGATCGGAACACTGAGGTCAGCACAGCCCGAGACGGCGGGGCCACCGGAGCCGGCCCGCCCTGGGAGGACCCCAGTGCCGCAGCTTCTCTCTTCAGCGTGTCCTTTGAGGGACACCTGCGACCTGCGCTGTCACTGGACGGCGACAGCGTCGATGGCCACTTTTTACTGAGCACCCAGTGTGCCCAGCGGCAGGAGAGTTGTGTACTTGTTTCACTGATGTCTCACTATCCTTTTTTTAGTTTTAGGTTTATTTTTATTTTTTATTTGTCCATGTTTGCAGTACGTTGCTCGTGGGGAGTTGGTCCTTGTACGTAACACATCTCCATTCCTTTTTCTTCCCTCATTTTCCTCCCACCTCTTCCCATCTCTTGGTCACCTTCCCTTTTGCAAAAATCATCATTCTGTTAGAAATTATCTTTCTAGAAGAATAAATGTACGCTCATCAGAGATTTTAAATACCAAAGGACTTGCAGCTGATAGTGGATATGAATCCTGATCTGACTCTCAAACGTAGTTCTTTCAGTTGTCTCTTGCTGCCTTCCGCTGACAATTTTGTTTGACATTCTTTGCACCAGTGTATCTTTTGTGTTTCCAATTTTTGGCCCCAAACCGGCTCCTTTTCCCTCTTGGAATTGTGGAACCAATAACAAGACTGAGCGAGATTGAGCCATGAGGGAGAGTTTTATTCTCAGCTAAGAGTAGGAAAAGTGGGAGGTAAATTCACAGATCAATTTTTTTTGGTAGTACTGGGGATCGAACTCAGGACCCTTGTGCTTGTGAGGCAGGCATGGTGTCACTGAGCTACATCCCCGCTCCTGTAGATCAACTTCTTGACCCTTGGGGATCAGTAGATCATGGATATAGGGTACAAGAAAAGGGGCGGGGGACGGTGAATCTGTAAAGGAGAGGAATATTCATGTCTTTTCTGGGGGTGGCCTGAGATTTTCTGGAAAATAGAGTTGCCCCTCTTTTTGCTCCTTTTAGTTTCTTTCCTGCTGTTATGGCAGTTGTCCCGTTCTGGCCCTAAGTGTGTGTTCTTTAGCTTGCAGGTGGCATTATAGTGTAGTTATAACTATAATATAATAATAATAATACTATATTGTATTATAGCCTGCAGTCACTCTGTGTTTAGAATAAACAAGAATAGGGCTGGGTGGGAATTCAGCTTTGTCACCTGGGCAGTGCCAGGTTCAAAAGCTTGCCCTTCTAGTGCTGTTTTTTGTCCAGCACCACCTGCCATTGAAGAGCGCCTGCGTCTTCAGTGTTGCCTTGTGTCCTCCCAGCTGGCTGGCAGGTAAGTAGAGGCAATGGGTAATTTCCTGTTTTCTCTGGTGATCCCTCTCTCTGGGCAGCCAGCTGTACAGCTTGTGGCCTAGGCTTGAAGAGCCACTGCAAGAGCGACTGGGAGAACTGGGACTGAACCAGAGGTTTGTAGACCACCTGTGGTGCCTGTTCCTGTGCAATCAGCTCCTGAGCTCAGAGTGGATTTTACTCTTTACACAGATAGTTGGGGAAGAAATGAAGGAATATTTTTATGACATATGGGAATGATATGAAATACAAATTTTGGTGTCCACAAGTACAGTTTTATTGAGGTACAGCTATCTGAGCTCATTTGTTTACTTATTGTGCCTGGTTATTTTCATACCACGAGGTCAAATTGAGTAGTTATGACACAGGTTATATGGCCCACGTGTCTTAATTACCATTTGTCCCTTTCTCAAACGTTTGCTGAGCCCTACATGAGACTTTCGGTTTTCTGTCTCTAATAGTATCCTCTTTGCCTTAGTCACTTTCCTGAAGATGGGACGAAAAGCCCAACATCCACAACTTAAAGGTGGGGAGGTTTAATTTGGCTCATGTTTCAGGGGATTCAGTCCATGGCTGGCTGCCTCCAAGGCAGAAATGATGTGGCAGAGGGGCCTAGGGGAGGAAAGCTGCTTATCCCATGCCAGACGAAACAGAGAGGGAAAGAGGAACCAGGGTGGGAGATAAACCCTCCACAGGCACAGCCCTAGTGACACACTTCTTTCACCTCCTTACAGCATTTAGCTGTGAGCTCATCCGGCCACAGGATGGGTCCGTTGACGAGTATAGCACCCCTGTGATCTGATTACCTCCAAGAGACTCACTTGTGACTGTGTGAACTTCTGGAGACATTTTAGGTCTCAACCGTAACATACATTCAATTTTAACTCAAAACAGAATGCGCGATAATAGCTAATGTGCTTTGTGATGGACTAGACACTGTTCTAGTCTCTACTTGTGTCTCTGCCATCTGCTCTTCCCAAAGACTAGGACGTAGAGACTATTTTTATTTTCGGTACAAGGAAGCTGAGAAAGAGGCAAATGATAAAACTTGGCCAAGATTTCATAGCTGTAAGTGGTGGAGCCAGGCTTCAAAATGCTGAAATTCTAGATGAGTTTTCATTTATAGCAGTCGAAACTCGTAATACCTTTAAATAATACCAGTAAGTAATCTACTGCTAAAAATGTATTTTAGGCAAACCAATCTTATTGCTGAAGCCAATACTTTATTTACTTCTTCACTTCTTTTTTTTTTTTCTTTTGAGAAGTGAAGATAATATAGTGAAGAGAAATATAACACTTAGCTATTTATGTGAATCGCTATTTCTGGTTTTCTACCTGTACCTTTCAAGTGTGTCACAGATGGTGTCTGTAATTTATATCATCGTAAATGGCACATGCCCTTTTTCTTCACTGAACAAACCCAAGATGCCTAGTACACATCTGGGATTCTGTTCATCTACATCAAATCAAAAGGATAAACAGAAGGTGTGATTGTGTATGGGAAGCATCACATGGACATATGACTATGTTGGAGACTGTAGTAGTTAAAAGAAAGGTAAAAACTTTTCGCAAGGATGCTTTTAAAATCAGAGAAAGGAATGGCCACCTTATATAGAGTTGGTATATGATATGTTGACACTACACCACATTATTTCAAAAAGGCTTTTGTCTGTATCAGAAGTTATGAACTCTCTGTTTGGGCATTTATGAGTGGAATGACATAGGATGCTGCTTTGTTCAGGTACAGAATGAGGATAGTAATAGACCTGCCTCAATAGGACCGATATTTTGTTTATTTTTAATTTAATTTTATTTTTTGTTCTTTTGAGGGGGGCTCTTGCTATGTAGCTCAGGCTGGTCTTGAACTCACTGTGTAGCTCAGGCTGGCCTAGAACTCGAGGCGATCTTCCTGCCTCAGCCTCCCAAGTGCTGGGATTACAGATGTGCATCTCCATGCCTGGTGGCTTCAAAGCCTAGAGTAGGCCTCAAAGCCCAGTAGCTATTAAGTGGCAGCCACCTTGTATGCTTGTGATTCTGTAGGACAGGAGCTGGGGCTGACTCACTAGCTGATCCTCGGCTCCCGCTGGGATCCCTCATGTTTCTTAGTTTCACCTGGCAGGCAAGCGGGGATGGGGCCGAGTGCCCTGGTTGTCCTTCAAGATTTCCTTGGACATCGGTCTCGGAGCATCGAGAGTGAGAGCTGATGCCGCAAGGCCTTGGGTTGGGAGGCTCCAAGATCACCCCCAGATCATGTGATTTGCTAGGAGGATTCAGAGATTTACTTCCAGAAGCAAAAGGATACAAAGCAGCAAGAACACAAGGAGAAGTACAGGGAGGCCGGGCTCAGGCTTCTCTGGGTCTTGTCCTGGTCCAGTCACACTGGGTGTGCCGGGTTCTCCCAGCAGCAGGCCCTCAGCCCACGTTTGGTGTTCTCATCACAAGACTGGCCTAGAGTCAAAGGGCTGGAAAGATAGACCCGCTCTTGGTACACCAGAGCACTCTACTACAGATTTATCATCTATCTCAAAGCAAATGTTTTTCCCATCCAGCTTTAATCATTTATGTCTGTCCTATCAAGACAGGCCTGCAGAATTTGCATGTCTGTTTTGTGTGAAGTTTCAGAATTGGACATTGGATTTTGTTATTTTAAAAGATTTGGCTTAAGGAGACGAAAGGACAGGAAAATATGATTGAGCAGAAATTGTATTCTGTTTTCCTAAATGTAATTAAAAGCCAGCTTGGTAAATACGGACTGACCTCTTGTTCACTACTTATTTTCCTCTGTGTTTGCACATGATACATGGTACTTTCCAGCTCAGACGCACTTGAATGTGGTATTCTGTCCTGTTTGAAGAGCATGGCTGGGCTTAATCAGAAGCCGGTCTTGGATATGATTAAAGCATTCAGGAGGAACTGGCGCGCTCTGTGCAGCTCTGAAAGAACAACTCTCTGCGGAGCGGACTCCATGCTCCTGGTGCTGCAGCTGGCCATGGCGGAGAACAATAAACTGGTTAGTAAACTATATTTAGGTTCACTTTTTTTTAAATCAAATTTTGGTTGATGCCTTTTTTAATAAACTTAAACATATTACTTTCAATATTTGCCTTCCTAAGATAATGCACTATTTTCCAAAGTGTCTCTTTGCATATCTGTGTGGAATTATTACAATTACATTCGAAATGATTTGTTTCAAAATCAAGGCTTTCATGTGTACAGTTGAACATGAGGGCACATTTGATGTTTCATGGGAAGTCGTGAGATAAACATGCAACTGTTATGATTACTATGGTTATTTATTCCTATTTCATAAATATTCTTTCATTCCCTAAAAGAAGCTATAGAAGGCACACATAATTTTTAT